CTGCATAAAGTAGCTGAGAAAGCTTATTCAGAGCTTTTAATTTAGGTACTGATTTAGTTGTACTGCTCCCTGCCACTAAACTCCAAGAAAACATTGAATTCCATTGATGATACCCAAGTTCAGTGTTGGGCTACATGGGGTGAACAGGTTGAAATAAAATCCACACAAGCGAGGTGTTGGAAAACAATCAGCTAACTCTGGAACTGTGTTTCAGCCTGTTTTAGAACAGACTGCATTTCCTTGAAAGCATAGGACTATCACCTGGAAGTGCTCTTTGATCATGACTGATACAGGAACTTAGTTACAAGGATGCTTTTGCATAATTATATCTAACATACCACCGGCAACTGTTCCTAAATAGGACAAATCTAGCAAAAGTTATCCATGCTTTAATTACATCCTATTTGATCACTGCTATGGGTACAAAATGTAGCAGCAAGGCTAACTAGTACATGTGAACTATCTTATGCTAAAAGATAGAAAAGCATCCTAGGGTAGCATTTGCCTTTTTAAAAGCTGTAGCGTATTTATTTTAGAGACTCTCCATCTAACTCAAAGAGCAACTCTGAGTGGTAAGAGTGGCTGTGTATTAAAAACTGTTCCTGAAAGCACTGCATGGCTTCAGTGATTCATCAACTCAAGAAAGGAATGGCTGCCATTTTAAGTAATTCGTATTTAAGAGTTGTCCTTAAATCATACATTCTTAACTTGAAGACTGCTTGTACTAGAATCTTTCCTGTGAGTTTTTAGAATTCTGTTATTTTTTTAAAAATGTAGAATTTGAAATTAAGTATCAGAATCCTTCCCATGGGAAAATGCTGTTGATTAGATAAAATATGATAAGAGGAAGGTTGGACACTAGAGGGAACTAGACAGAAATAAAGGTTATAATTAAAGGAGAAAAGACTCACTAGTACAGAACAGAGCAAAATACTTTTAATGTTGGAAGAATTCAAGGATATTTGGGAACAATGCACTCAGAAATTAATTCTTAAAATTGCAATTATAAAAATGGAATTAAAAGAGATTATAGAAGAGAAACGGGTTATACTGGACAAAGCAGACTGAGGCTATTTGAATAGGGATTTAAAAATGACAGATTACAGGAATGATATGGAAAAAGATGTTACACTAGATTTAAAATGAAACCGACTGATATTTTAATTAAGAGAGACATACAAATAACAATCCAGAAAAGTGACTTTGATAACTTTCTTATTTTGGATTTACAAAAGAAACATGTTAAAGTTTTGAAGGTACTTTGGAGAAAACAAATGAAAAGAAATCAAATTCTGGGACACTATTTAAAGAGATTAAAGAGCAAGATTGTTAAAAGCAAAGTGAAAGAATACAAAGTTGATATATTTAACCAAGGTTGTATATGTTGTATGTGGAAACTCTTAATGGATTTTTGCTCCAAATGATGAGGCTTTAAAGATTTGTTTAAGGTAAGAGATGAAATATGGGAAGAGAGGATCTTTTGTCCTATTTTCATAGAAAGTAATAAGCTGGTGTTAAAAGTAAGGAAAGGAGTATGAAGATGGTTTATTTGATTGAGCTTAAAATATATATGTTGTTATTTCTGGTAACTCTTAATAGACATTGGCTAATTAGAGGTGAATGAAGAAGTTTTAAAGAATTTGTTTACAGATAAGAGAGAT